ACTTTGTGCCATATCAATTTTTAGACGATAACTCCTGCGGGATCTTGATGAAATAATCGCCCTGTATACAATACGAATATCCGCACCCCGTGTAATATACACACAAGTATAGTAGTAGATATAAAGTCGCAAAGAATCATCGATCGCTCTTTGTCGGCGGGCACGACAAAAAAAAAAAAAAAATGTTTATATATATATATATATTTTTTTTTTTTCGGAACGCTTTTCGAGTATAAAATATATAATAATAATATATATACAAATATTTTAAAAAATCGCTGCTTTAGCTCGTCGGCTACAGTATAACGCGTTATGTATACGTCGTCGTCGTCGTCGTCTTCGTCGGTCTGTCGAACGATTTATCATGCAGACGGCGTATAGTCTTGTTTGGGAATTATCGATTCGCAGTCTCTCTCTCTCTCTCTCTCTCTCTCTTTCACTCACTCTCTCTCTCTTTCTCTATCTCACTCACTCTCTCTCCGCGACTACGGCGACGACAAGACGAACTTTTTTCAAACCGCCGCCGCGATCGAGTTCATCGCGGAGATCCCTGCGCGAACGTGACACGTCGTCGCGTTGCACCCTGTACATTATAAGTTTTACGCGACGACGACGACGCCGGCACGGACCGCTGCGGACCTCGAAGTGATTCTGACGGGCCGCGGTTATCACGCGCGCGCACGTCAAGACCGCACGTACGTATGCATAACGTGTTATACGATATTTGTGTTATGACTGATGTCGTACACTATTATTATTATTATTATTATTATTATTATTATGTTTCAAAAGCGACGACGTCGCCGCCGTCCCGTCGTCCGCCCCCCCCCCGGCACGACGGTTTCCTTTTTGTTCGGGCGGCGAATTATTTATTTTCGAGCGTTACGCGCGCGGTACTGCGGCGGCAATATGTCAACGAGACTGTACCGCCGACGGCGTTAAGGGTTTCCGTACGATATTTATACGCGTGTCGCAGTAGACGTTCTAGGAGGATAACATGCGGTCGGGCGCAGCCACTGTTATCGGTAATTTAATGTGCGCGCACATGTAATCGACGATAAACCGTTGCTAAAGAATAAACGGTTCTGAGTCGAGTTCATTTGATAGCACTGCTTTGTCAACAGTATATATATATATATATATATATATGTCATATTATGGTCAAATTCTAATTATTCCGATTCCGAAATTAAAATGGATCCCGTTTTTCTCAGTTTTTTTTTTTTTCGATTTTTCACATTTGTTGAGAAAACTCCTTAGAAAATCGAAAAATAACCTGTCTAGAGTGCTACTCTGTTGAAATTTCCTTTTAGAGAAATTGCAGTCATTAAATGTCGGAGCGAAATTGGTGGTAGAAAAATTGTCTACAGAAAAAAAATATCGTAATATTTTACTAATATATTTCGTATATTTTCTCGTTTTTATTTTTCGGTTTATAATAAAAATTCCTGAGAAAATCGAAAAATGACTTCCCTAAAGTACCTCTCCACATCGATTTCCTTTCAGAAAAGGTGCTACACATACAAATCGGATTTCAGAAAATTGGTCCACAGAACAGAACAAAAAAATAATAATAATAAACATCTTTGTAAAACCATAAGCTTCTTTGCTCTAGTAAAATATAAAAATTTCCCCTCCCCTCGGTTTTCTATACACTTTTTATGCGTCTGCCCGGGCATATTTTTCCGAGATCATCATCATCCGTTTGTCGATTTTCTCGAACACAATCAAAAACGCGTGTGTTACGATTTTAGAAGGGAGGTCGGACAGAAGGACGTAATGAGTATAATCATTAATTTTAACCTGCGGTGCGCGACGATAAACCGTTGCCGACGTTTAAAATACGATTCTGAGCAAAAGTGTTTGTAATCGTATTTGCACGTCACCACGGCAACTCTGAAGAAATCAGCGAAAACTATTATACGAAAAATCGCCGGTTTTTTCCGTTTATTAAAAAAAAACTACGAGAAAAATCGAAAAATTATCTTTCGACGTGCGTAAAGTTCTCAAGAAGTTTTGGGATTGGAATAAGATTTCCGGCGGGAAAATTGTTTAGGGAAACAAAACAACACACACGGTATAAAATGCTGGCGCTAGCGTATACCACTGATTTCCGTGATGTACGCGTATATATGTATGTGTGTATAATATCCCGTTCGAAAATACGTATTGTATAAAGGCGTAAAAAAAAAAAAAAATAAATAACGCCCGACTATAAACTGTTACTTATTGTGTTATTGCACACGTCACGCGCAAACGAGAGCGATGCGCGGACTGTGCGGACAGCGTATTAACGATCGCCGTCGTCCGGGGGGAATAAACACATTTCCTATCGATCAACTGCGATTTGCGCACCGTATTTATCGATATTTTTGGATACACGGCCGACACGATTACTGACAGTGGAGTCGTAGAGTAATACAGAGGCGGCGATCACTACGACGGCCGTGCAACAAAATTGAAACCTAACCGTCGGCCGTTGACCATAAAACGGAGTCTGTTAACGAAAAAAATGTGTTCCGTTACGCCGCGTCGTGCGTCAACAAAACACTGATCTGACGATGACCGTTCGGCATTTCCGGGTGTCGTTGTAATTGCTCTACGCTGTGCTGCGCGCGTGTTTACAAACAAATTGACGTTGTCACAGATGAAACGGCAGCACCGACAATGTCTACAGCCACTATGGTTTGAGCTCCGATTTTCATCCGGATCGCCGCCTCTTATAACATTACTCTGTGCGTGGTCGCGTGGAGTCTGGTAGATTTCAGAAACACGACGATTTACCCATAGTTTTCGTCGCGATGTGTTTATTAGTACACTGCAGTGACGACCCATCATCATATTGTCAAGTGTTATGTGAACAATACAAAGCAAACAAACGTTCCTGACTACGTGGCCGACAGACAGCGCTAATATCGGTAACTTTCTTTCGACTACAATCGAATAACTTCTTTCGACAACGGGCATTATTTATTATTATTGACATTAAAAACTATAGGTACTTTATAACATATCGATCGAATTGTGGAAAGAAGCCGGCAGGTTACTGTTGTAACCGAGCGGCTAGTCGAGGTAATGGTTCTAAACGAATAGTTCGGTATTTTATTACGACATAAAAACGTTTTGGTATATTATTATTTTAATAGCTAGTATTACATTTTAACGTAATTATTATACTAATGGTAATAAATATGCGCCGAAAACATCCGTTACAGTCAAACGGCTAATCCGGCACGGATTGCTCAGCAGATATTGATAGAGTCCAGGAAAGCTCGTTTTGTTATTCAGTTGAAACACATTGGTAAACGCAATTATATAAGGATACCCATTGGCCATAATCGCCAATATTTTATTATTATAATTTTTCATTATTTTGGACATAAGAATTAATCCATTTGCGTTTCAAACGGTTTCTATTTTCATTTTCGTTTAATAAGGACGATTTAAACAGAAACATTATATTGTTTTATATTTTAATCGTTTACACGATACAAATAGGGCTTTGTCAAGAAAACGACATTTTCTTATTCGTTATTTTCATTTGTCACTATCAAAAGTCTGCATGACAAATTGTATACTCACCACTAGTGTATAATACGATATTTTTTGTCAAAGATTAGCAAATTAGTATTAATTTTAGCGCGTAAAGGTGTTTATCGCATCCATCGGGTTAAACGCTATTCCATCCACAAAATATCAGATAGTTGCTCCAGCGATCCGATTGATCACTGCCCCTCCGCGGCGGATCGGTCGGCAGCTGAATTTAGGGACAGTTAAATCCAGCGGCTGATCAATCTGCTTAATTCAGGAACACAGGGAATATGTCAATTTATTGTACCTGATTATAATATTTATGACCAAAGAAACGACACGATAATTATTGTACTGCGTACGTTTAACATATTATAGTATAAAAAAAAAAATCAACTTGGTCTGTCTACGCCGTTTTGTTTCCGTTTCCATTTTGTATGATTGTATCGTTTATAGGACGCCTCCATGGCATATTCTCTATAGGTGGTCTGTTTATGTTTTATAATGATAATAATATAATTATCGTCTGTAATACTGAAAAAAAAAAAACTTCACACGATGGTACGCGCGTACCTATTCGTTTTTGTTTTTGTTTTTGTTTTTTTTCGTCTCTACTCGTCGGGAAATCATTGACCTACGACCGTACCGTGATGTTTATTGCACCCGTGTCAACAATGTTAATACGTGCACCGTGTTTCAAAACAAAAACGAAACGAAACAAACAAAAACAGAGCGTTGTAGTCTTATTACCGTGAGTGTTAATTTGTTACTCCGCCGATGCGTACACCGCGTCGTCGTCGTCGCCGGCCAGACAATGACGTTACATACACGCGTTATTTACCGACGACGATTGAACGGTTTTTTTTTTTTTTTTCACCATCAGAAAAAAAAATTTCGGAAATGAAATCGTTACGATCATTAACGGACGCGAGGGGGGTGGGCGTCCTTTCATTATACGCTCTATGCTCGGCCCGCCGTCGTTCGTTTGTACACGTGTATACGAACCGCGTCGTGACGATGATAGTATTATTATTTATATTATACCTTCCGCGGTTCCCACGTTATACATTATTATATTCCGGTCGTGGTGTTTTTTTCATCTTTTTTTTTATTCTTTTCTGGTTCGCTTAGCCCTAATAAAACTAATCGAATATTATCGAATGTCAAATTATTATTGTCGTCCGGCAGTGTCCCGGGGGCCGATGAGTACACGCCGCGTTGACCCGGTCGGCCCGCAGATTTTACGCCACGCCGAAAACGTTTTCAGTATTATTATCAAAACAACGTGCGATATTACCTAAAATCCACGGCAGACATCTTGCCGAAGGAGGGAAAATAATTGGCCAACAAATTAACGAGACAAAGACAAAATGCATGATAATATCTAGACAAAATCACAGAAACAGATTCCTTAAAAGTAGACGATTACACATTTGAAAGCGTAGACGATTTTAAACACTTTGGTGCAGATGTTAATGGAGATGCTAATAGTCACGAAGAAGTTAAAAGACGGCTCATCGCAGCGAACAGGTGTTACTATGACAAAACCAGACGGCAAAGAGTTAGAAGTGTTTGAGAAGATATTTGGCCCGAAGAGAAACAATTATGATTATGAAATACGAAGCAATAAAGACTTGGAAGAACTATGTAACGAACCCGGCAATGTTGGGAACCTTGAAAAGCGCGCGGTTAGACTGGGCCGGACATGTATGGAAATCAAAAGGACTATCGGGACAGATAACTGCACGGAAACGAAACGCAGAGACCCAGAGGACGGCCCAGACAAAGACGGGCAGACACAATAAAAGAAGACCCGGAGATATTGGGAGTAAAGAATGCACAAGAAACGGCGAAAGACAGAGAAGATCGGAGACGATATGTTGTTGCGGCAATGGGCCTGAAAGAACCCGTAAAAAGCCAAAGAAGACGAAGGAGAATAACGCGCGATATTACCGCAAACAGCGTATAGGCGAGATAAAAGAACGGAACGGAAGCAGGAAAAAAAAAAAAGGAAAAAACGCGTCTAACTAAATTCTCGTATCGCGTATTGCCATCATCGGCGGCGCTCTCTCATACTCCGCGGTATCGTCGTTATAAAATTATTATATCCGAAAGAGTGTATAACGCGCGTAAATATCGTAATACGTACGCGCGTACTATATGTGTACTATGCGTATTATAACAACGAAAACCGTGATACGAACTGCGAAAAACCGATAAAAAAAACGACGCGAATATTTTCGCACGAATATATTATTATTGTACGTGTGTGTACAGAATATTGTTATTATACGACGTTGCGGTTTTCTCGTTCTCTGCACACGAGTAGGTATGGGTGCGTACACAATATTATAATATAGACCGTCGCCGTGACAGAATAAAAAAATACCGCGGAGTTGCGACCCGATCGAGTACGGGCACGTTTAACCTTTTCCCCGGCCCTTCTTTTCTTTTACGACCCGACGAAAACGCGATTCAACACAATATAGTAAATCCGTCCCGAGAAAACAAAAAAAAAATCGACAAACGTTAATGATATTATTGTTATAGTTCTTAACCGCTGTAATAATAATATATTATTGTTGTTCCGAAAATATACCGACGCCAATCGTTGCGACAATAACATAAAGTCAACGGTCGGTGTCGCGTAGTATCGCAATTCGAATTCCATTCCCTAACAATATGCTCGTCGTCGAGTTTACGATGTCGTTCATGATGTCAAAAACGGTATGCATATGATCGTACCGAACCGCGCTACGCGTGTTGCGACTGAATCCGCAGTTATGCGCTGCTCGTTAATACGGCCGACGATCGGCGCGGCCGTGTCTATTCAAATGTAAAATGCGCGTTTGCGCACAGTACGCGCGTTCTTAATAATTTTCATGGTTTGATATTATTCCGATTGAAATCGAATTGCGCAGATATTTTGGCACCGCACTTTCGATCGAAATATTTAAATTCTCTTCGGAATTTGTCTTTGAAATTTCAATATCCCGTACGGTCCTGCGTTGGACAAATTTGTCAAAAAGGCCCTACCCGTAGGAACGGGCCGCGAGACGAGAAGGTGCCGCGCGCAGAGGTCGAACAAACCCGAATCGTGTTGTTACGCTGGTGCCACGGTACTGCACGTCGACCGCTCACCCTGTGATTACGTTCCGGCGCTTCAGACGCTCTAGGGCCGGCAATATGTATGTACGGTAACGAGTGGTATGAAAAAAAAAAAAAAAAACCTCGGGCTCAAACCCCCGAAACGGTACTTCGTCGTCGCCGCCGCCGCCGCCGCCGCTAGTAGCCGTCGTCGGGGCAAATGAAGCGCAAAATAGGGTGAAAGTGTAATCTGCCCCGCGATAAACCGTACGCGCTTCCGCCTCCTCCGCCGCCGCCGCCGCCGCCGCCGCTCGTTCGGCCTCTTCCTCGTGCGCGTGTAACACGTACCCGCTTACTTTGTCCTTTTCGAAGCCCAAGAACGCCGGTAACGCCGCCGGGCAACACAAATCCGGCCGACGACAATACAAACGGGGGCGATGGGCGTGCGGCGGGAATACGGGCGCCGCGCCGCCGTCCCCCGCCGCAGCGCGGCGCGTGAGTCGCAATGCCATCGGGCACAATACTCTTGATAACGTACGCCGCGGCCGCAGTTATCGCGCACGTAATACGGTAATACGGGGAAAACAACGGAACGCGATACCCGTACGCGCGCGCGTACGGCGACCGATCGGTAATACACCGGTCCTCGGCCGCGGTGCACGTGTCGCGCACGGTTCCCGGCCGAAAACCGTTTCGATGAGCGTAATAAATCGCCGTAACCGTAGGACGACAACGACGTTTGTTCGTTCGATCTGTGCGACGGTGTCTTCTTATTGTCGCCATCGTCTCGGTAACGGAACTGTATAGTTGTTGTGCGCAGCCGCAGTAACAGTACCCGGCTTTTCCGCGCGGAGTTTTCGCGACGGTACAAGTGAAAAACTCGCGAAGGAAATAAATAAATATCGATTCTGATTCACATGGCCGATACAACTTTTACGCGGAGATCGTAGATTCGGAGAGTGTGACGCGAAATGTATATTGGGTCTTACAACGATGTTTTATTATTACTATTGTTTTTTTTCTTTCATTCGGTAAACAACTTTTCTATCAGAAACAATCTCGCTCTGGTGCACCGAGCGTAGCGCCTTTTCCGAAAGGAAACTTTATCCAGTCGATACTTTAAACAGGTCGTTTTTTTTTATATTTTCCAAACGGTTGTCGTAATAATTGGGAAAAAACGGGAGAGTTTAAGCGCACGCGTATAAAAGAAACATGGCTCCGAATCGTTTTTCGTTAGCAATGGTTCATCGTTGCGCACAGACACAAATTGAATTCCCCTCTATATCCTACATTCCCAACTTCTCACCTACACCATCAGTGGCCCGTCCATCGTGCGAAGTATGTCCGTATTTTTATTTTTATTTTTTTTTCCATAAAGATCTCGCATGGATGACATGGCTGGCCCCGTTCTACTTTTGCCCGTGTCAGTATATAGAACGGAAAAAAAAAACAACGCAAACAAATAAAAACGCGTTTCCCCAAAACTCCACGTTTCCATCCTCGTCCCTGTCAGTGCAGTTATAACTTCAGTTGTTTACCGTAAATTGCTAACAAATTAATTTCCGTTGATTTTCTTTTTGTCTTTTAGAGGGGTTGAATGGATCTTAATCTAATCTTATAGCGGTCGCCTACATTGTGTTTGGAACTGCAGGGAGAAATGTTAAGTAGACACTTGGCGTTTTGACCCGGTGGTTTTGATTGTGCGTTTTATATCGCGCAACGGCGTTTCCCGTGCACAATATCAAACGAAACGAATTTAAGAATATGTAAACGTGCGTCCGCCCGGTGACTCCCCGTTCACATCCGTTCACATGACACACGGGTAAGAAAGTACAAAGCGTGTCGACTGTGATAAAAAGATGGCGTAAACGAGAAAATAAGTTCAATTTAAATTTTTTTTTATTGATATCGGTTTTTGAGGGGATTTGTTTTAAAAAATCTTTTTGGTAAAATATTAAAAAAAAAAAAAAAAAAAAAAATAATTATAAAATATTTGCGGTAAAGAAAAACACGGTTAACGTTACGTACGATCAATATGCCGATTGTAACATAAATATTTGTCTATTGTTTCAATGTACCGTCTAGGAAACAACCGAGATCGAAACACCTGCAAAACAACTATTATAGAATTGTAATCATTATTACGGGCACGCGTGACGCAAGTGGCCTGCACGGTTGCATATTCCGATCTTTCTAACGCGCAATACGTACCATAACAAAAATGTGTTCTCGCAAAACAATGACCGAAAAGGTCAATGTAAAATCGGTTTTCGCGATACAAAACATTCGTTATACACTGACGCGTAGACGGTGGCATTTTGAAGATCGCAAACTCGTCGGCGTTTCACAACACTATAAATAATATAATATTTTGTTCGATAATCAAAGGCGCATAAATCGTATTTGTAATTTTTTTTTTCCCTCCTTAAACCTGCGTAATTCGTTTTAATCGTAATTAATATTTCAAAAAACACCGATGAGAGTTAGTTTATTCGATATTAATTTTTCGTTTACGCAACATGTAATATAAACTATTGTATTATTTTTTTTTTTTTTTGAATCTCTAGAACCGATTTTAAAGGAGTTTTTGTTACTCTTCCGAGAACTCGTCACTTTTTGATACACTGCCCGTTAAAATGACGGAGACGGCGAATGCAACTGCAGACTGCAGTGACGACCTTTCAAGATTAATAACATCGTAAAACGGATTTACAGTTGACGATAATATCTGTACTAATTCTATGAAAAGGTATTGTCGATCAATAATGAAAAAGACGTCCTAGGATAATAGGGACGGGTGCAGCCACTGTTATAGATAATTTAATGTATACCCGTAAGCAACGATAAACCATTGTTTACGATAAAACGATTCTGAGCGGAGTTCAGTTGATAGCAATGCTCTGTCAACAATATATATATGCTATATTATAGAAAAATAATTAAATAGGCTCTATATAATTTTCTGTAATAATATTTGTTTAATGTAGTACCGATTTTCCCAGTTTTCCTACATTTTTCCCGGGTTTTCACATTTACTGGGAAAACTCTTGAGAAAATCAAAAAATGACCTTTCTAAAGTACCTCCCTAGTGAAATATCCTTTTAGAAACATTGCTATCATTATAAGTTGGAGCAAAATTGCTGGTAGAAAAGTTGTGCACAGAAAAAAAAAATAATCATCTTAATAAAATTATAAGTTTTTTCGCTCTACTCAGAATCAAAAATAATGTATTTTTTGTTGTGGACGTATTTTTTATAGACTCACGAGAAACTGTACAACTAAAGTCGCTTATTATTTAATATTATTATTATTATTATTATTATTATTATTATTATTTAATATTAGAAATTAAAACAAATAACATTTTTAAAATTATTTTTTTATGTATAAAAAAAAAAGCGTACAAAAAAACACGAAACGAATTTATGTACTTAATAAAACGAGTGACTCGTTAACTGAGTTTTGACATTCATGTCATAACAAATTAATTTTTTCGATAATATATTACAGTGCTAGTACTTAGTGTAGTTCGTTGTACAGTCTTGAAATAAAATTTCATATATTATTTTTAAATCAAAAAACCTCAAAGTACCCCGAAAACCTTAAAGTGCGCTGAAAAATTTAGAAAATGACTTATTCATTAAAAAAAAATACATTAAACGAATTTGTAATGAAACGATCGTCGTAATATCGCAAAGTTTTGGAAAACAATGCTAATTGAAATCCCAGCGTTAATCATTACACAAACGTCGTATTTTATTGAGTCTGTCACGAATTTAACGGTTCTATATTAATCGTATTTTTTTTCTCTCATTCCGGCTATAAAAATAAAAAAATAAAAACTTTGTAGTACAGCGGTGAAATTTAATTACATCACAATAA